TGATGGCAGCAGTCTCCATCTTTTCTGGCGCGGGGTGGGGCTGCTGCATTCTGGAGGTGTCCAGGGTTTGTTGGTGCTTCGTTGGTCGGGCCGGGGGTGTGTCGTTTTTGTGTTCAGTGGCGGCCCTCTGCTGTTGTTTGCGTGCCACGGCGTTTGGGTCCGGAGCGCGTTTTGCGTTGATCCGGTTCTGTTCTTCCCGGTTCGCAGGTGATGGTGTCCCGGGTGGTCAGCCGTGTTCTTGCGGCTAAGCTGCCTGTGGCGTTCGTGGCTTCGCTGCTCTCGCTGCCGTCTGGGCGACGTGGCCTTGCAGTCTTTCGGGCATGGATTTTTGGTGTTCGTGCAGGGGCCTTGCTGCTTGTGGTTCTCGTGTTATCCCGGGATTTTCGGGGCTGTGGCGCCTTGGGTTGGCGTTTGCTGCCGGTTGTCTCGCCTCCTTGGGGGGTGCGTGGTGTCCGCCTCCCGGTTTTGTCCCTTTGACCTTCCTCTGTGGGTAGTTAGCTCCGGGGAGCCGACGGGGCTCCCCCCAGAAAACCAGCGTTGAATGTAATGAAACGCCATTTTCTGGGTGAGACCCGGAGGCTCCCCGGCAACCCTCCCTCCCTCCGGTCGGCGTTTTTCGCGTGTTTTGACATCCAGCCTCAGAACTGATGGGTGGATAGCCGGCGTGGGAGGTCTGGGGCTCCCCCTTCCCCCTCCCGGGGAGGGGGGAGCTGCGCAGACAGCGGCGTGGTGACGTATGATGTCATACTAGTTTCCTTGTTTTCTGTTGAAGAGTTCTATCCACTAGTTCGGCTTAGGTAGCAATTTTCACCAGAATAGGGGTTTGTTTTGGAATGCTTACCTTTCTGGATGCTTGACCTGGTCGATGGCAGACATAGAATGCTTCCAACCACACGGGGGTTTCTATAGGCCATTGCTCCCCTTGCCTCTCTGAGGGGGCCAGGTTCTGGCTCGTGGTTCCCGGTAGGCCCTAGAACTCCATACACATGACTGATGCCAAAGTCTGACATTAGCATATCAGCCGGTAAAGCTCCGGGGAGCCTCCGGGTCTCACCCAGAAAATGGCGTTTCATTACATTCAACGCTGGTTTTTTGAGTTGATCTCGACTCTTTAATGTCAGAACCCCTTTGTCGGAATTGGTGCTTTGGCTATTGATTCTTGGATTGTTCTCCCACGGGTGCACATCATTAGTTGTCCGGTTGCTGTAGTTCATCACTACCTGTGCACCACCTTACCTGCTTCAGGGTTCATGCTGTTTGTTGCTCCCTTCTCCATGATCCCGTTCCTTAACTCCTTTATCAGAGGTTGTCCACAGTGTCATCTTGTCTATCCAGCTTGCGGTCTACACTTAAGCCCATTATGTTAGTAAGTTTGTGGCTCTGACTGCAGTGTTTTCTGACAGATCTTGGGTTCGTGTCCAGGCTCAGGTATTGAAGGTCTAACAAGGTTTTGGTGGTTCAATACCTGGGCAGTGTTGTTGGTCCCTGTCGGGCTTGTGTTACTTTGGGGTTGGGTTCCCCATTCTGGTCTCCTCTCTTCTAGGGTGTGAGTGTTGCTCTCCTCCTCCTACCTCGTAATTCCTTGTTTTTTTTCTTCTGCGTGGTAATTGGCTACATGCAGTTAAATAGCTGCCAGAACTGTAAGACAAGAGTTACGAGGAGAGGTTAGAGGCATTATACATGCCAAAACAAGAAGATAACAGAGGCAATGTGATCGCAACATAGAAAATGGGATACAACAAAATTGATAGGGAAGAATTCTTGAGACCTGGAATGTCAAGAACAAGAGGTCATAGATTTAAACTAACTAAATAAAGCTGCCAAAGAAATAAAAGAAAATTCACTTTTGCAAACAGAGTTGTAGATAGTTGGAACAAGTTAGATGAGAAGGTGGTTGTGGAGGCCAAAACCGTCAGTAGTTTCAAAGTGTTATTTGACAAAGTGATGGGAAGACGGGACACCACAAGGGTAGCTTTCATCTTGTAACTACACTTAGGTAATTACAGGGAGGCACCATTTCACCCCTCCAGAAAATCAGTATTGAATGTAATGGAATGCCTTTTCCTGGTTGGGCCCTGGTGGCTCCCAGATCCCTTTCTCCCTATCAGATGTGTCAGTTTGTTGCCCTAGTCTGTAAACTGAGGAATGTTGCCATGAAAGTTGGCAGTTCCCGGTGGTGTTATTACCTATCGCTGGTCAGCTGCAACTGGGGCGAGGAGTTGAACTGTTTGTTGCCTTAGTCTGTAAACTGAGGAATATTGCCATGGGAGTTGGCAGTTCCCGGTGGTGCTATTACCTATCGCTGGTCAGCTGCAACTGGGGCGAGGAGTTGAACTGTTTGTTGCCCTAGCCTGTAAACTGAGGAATATTGCCATGGGAGTTGGCAGTTCCCGGTGGTGCTACTACCTGTCACTGGTCAGCTGCAACTGGGACGAGGGCTTGAACTGACTACTGGTTGGATAATTCTACCTACCTGATTTACCTGAGGGCCACTAACATTAGTGGCTTCAACAAGGACAGGAAGCTGGTGGCTTGTCAGAGGTTCCTCCATATGCCTTGATGATCCTCTTCAGGTGGATTTTAAAATCTATCAGTTTTGCTGTTTATGACTATGGTAAGTAGGCAGTTACATGGGTTTTCACCATGTAGGTAAAAAAACATCTGTTCTCAGTACTACATTGTGGCTTGTTGTGCTTGAAATTATTGCTCCTTGTTTGTGCTACATCTGACCTTTTGAAGAAATTGTTAGGATCAACTTCCTCCAACTTGTTCAGTTTTTTAAAGTTTCGATGAGATCTACCCTGTCATTCCTGGTCTGCAGTGTTGTTAGGCCTGTGACCCTGACCGTTCCTGCTCTGACTTAGCTCTGGAATGACATTTGTTTCCCAGTGTTGGACCTTCTCCAGAGCAGCTATGTCCTTCTGTAAGTCTCCATGCCTGGATACAGTAATGCAAATGGAGCCATACCAGAGATTTATACAGTTGAATAACTACCTACTTTTCCTTAAAGTCAAAGGTATGCTTGATTATTCCAAGGGTTTGGTTAGCTTTATTGACTGCTGTTCCTACCTGTTGTGCAACTTTTAGTGAGTGGGCCCTGGTAGATTTTGACTCCCAGGTCCTTTTATTTATTCATTAATCTGCTGTAATGTAATAAAAATTTGCAGAATAGCACTGCTTTGTTTCTTTCCTCTTGAACCTTGTGGTTGTCTGTTTTACTTCACTTTTTTTCTGGATATTTCCTTCACAAGGGTTATCTTGAGGTTATCTTGTGATGATTTCAGGGCTTTTTAGTGTCCCCGCGGCCCAGTCCTCGACCAGGCTTCCACCCCCAGGAAGCAGCCCGTGACAGCTGACTAACACCCAGGTACCTATTTTACTGCTAGGTAACAGGGGCATAGGGTGAAAGAAACTCTGCCCATTGTTTCTCGCCGGCGCCCGGGATCGAACCCGGGACCACAGGATCACAAATCCAGTGTGCTGTCCGCTCGGCCGACCAGCTCCCTGGTTACCCTGGTAGGGTAATGGTAACAATTGCCTGCTCCCTGCGCCTCTGTAAGGACACCAGGGTTCTGGTTCCTGGTAGGCTACTACAGACTCCTAGCGCTAATATGGCTCGTGTGTGGAGCTATCTCAGTGTTGCCGGCTGCAGGAAGCCACTGAGGCCCAGCCAGTAAGAGGAGTTTTATTGAACAAATCCACAAGGGCCGTGACCAGGATTCGAACCTGCGTCCGGGAGGTTTGTTCATTTGATGCATCACATTAGTGTGATCTCTGTGTGTGAGGAGTTTTATTACTTTCATTACTGTTTTTTTCTCTGTTTTGGGCAACTCTGATCCTTAATGATGTTTTCGCATCATAAAGATCTGGATTTTGGTCATGGCTTCCATTGAGTTGGCATAGGTCTCAAGAGGCTTGGTGCAATTTCCAAGGCTTGGCTATATTTTACTAGTACTTAAGCTAGAGAAGCTGCAAAGGCTTATAGCTGTTTTGACAAGAAAACAATTACAGTATTTGCATAATATTTAATAAATATTGAAAAGGAAGCATAATTTTGGAAGTGACCAAATAGACTAAAGGTATGTTTGATACCATAATACTGGCTCCTATTCACATGAAAGTTAAAAAATAAACCACTTATTGAGGAATTGTGAGGACGACATAAATCACCAGTGACTGTTCCTAATTGTTGCTAATGACTATGAAGTGGACTTGTCATCTGGTTCTCTTAGTGAATATGAGCAATAAGAGTATGTACACGTATCTCCTATTGTAATTTTCTAATATAAGTTTGACCAGACCACACACTAGAAGGTGAAGGGACGACGACGTTTCGGTCCGTCCTGGACCATTCTCAAGTTGATTGAGAATGGTCCAGGACGAACTGAAACGTCGTCGCCCCTTTACCTTCTAGTGTGTGGTCTGGTCAAACTACTTCAGCCACGTTATTGTGACTCATCGCTTTCTAATATAATTTTGTCAAGAGTTATGTAGATTGGCTTATTTATTTATATTCTCTATACTGTACCCTTCACAGGGAAAGTATGTAATGCCTATTTTAAAATTTGTGCTGAATGAAGTCAATATTAAAAAATCTCTTCCTTCTTCTACCCCAAAAAAATGAATTAATCTGAAGTTTAGTTACAAGCCTTTTTGGTTGAAAAATGTCTCACCAAGCTGACATATCTCAGGATATAAAACATGGTCAAATGATTAAAGGTGTTGTTATGATTTCAAATATTTTATCCTGTGACTTTTGTACTGTGCGGGTTCCTGCTTATTTAATAGTAAAATTAATGTGAACTCGTAAATTAATTTAGCTTCATTTTCCAAATTATATATTTTTTAAGCATCCATTACAAATTTAAATTGCTATAGATACTGTACTTGGAAGACAAGTAAAGAATATTTGGTCTGAAGCATTCAAAATTAAAATCATCAAGGGCCCTTCACCCTTCCTCCATTTTCTTTTTTCTTCTAAAAATGAGACTTGTCTGGAAGTGAAATGTGTTAAATTTTTCAGGATCTGGAGTTTGAAACGGCAATGCATCTAGAAAGAGAACAGAGAGTCCGTCAGCTGGAGACCGACATAATAGATATAAATGAAGTTATGCGTGATCTCTCGTCTATGGTTACTGCACAAGGCGAGATTGTAGGTAAGTAGCTTAGAGGATTTTTAGGGAAGTTCCTAATTGTAATATTCTAATTATAATTCAGATGACTACATATTTTCTGTGGGGAGCCCCTTTGGCTCCCTGGATGTATCAGTCTAATATGCGAATCATTAACCACTGCACTGCGCAAAGCGCCTTTAGGCGCTCAGAGAGTTGTGCTTTTTGTTTTTTAATTTGGCTATATTTTAATGTTTTTTAATGTTTTCATTACTATTTGTGTTTTGAAATGGAAATAGTTGACTTTGGAAACATTTTAACATTAAATTTACCTGAACATTTGTAAAAATAACAAAAATATGTCCTTGACAATTGCACCAAGACGTTTTTGCCGAAAATAGGTGAGCAGTGCAAGGGTTAAACCGGGGCATTAGTCTATGGAGTTCAGCCTACTGGGGACCACGAACCAGAACCTGGCCCCCTCAGAGAAGCGCCGGGAGCAATAGCCCTGGAATCCCCATCCCCCCTGTAGTTGGGGGTTTTCCTTATCTGGCACGGACCTGAGTTAGGCACCCTGAAAGGTTGGCATAACAAAACAGACCCCACACGGTAAAGAGACCACTGTCTCTTTAAACAGCCTTTAATTTTCCTCCTGCTTGTGATAGGGTTTTCCTATTATTTACCCTTTGCTTTTTTGTAACAAATTCAAACATAGAATTTAATAACCTAGCCTGTTTTAGTGCCTGGCCCAAGGTAGAGGCCAGGCAAGTTATATCCCAACATAATATAAATTAATCAAGATGTTTAAAATTTATTAGTTCAGGTATATTTTCATTAGTTTATCTTAATCATTAGGATAACTAGGCCTTAACATTCTTATTTTTGTATTTAGATTCCATAGATAACGTGGAATGTGCTCATGGACATGTTGAAGAGGGCCGAGAGGAACTGTTAAAAGCTCAACAGTACCAGGTGAGGATGTTTCGGTTTCTGAGGGCTCCTTGAAGCTGTCTAGCTGAAAGAGCTCTCCACTACTGGGTCACATCATCTGCACGAGTCCCATTTGGCCTTCCAGGGACCCGGAGCTAGAACCTGGCCCTCTTCACAGAGCCACAAGGAACAGGGGATTATTAGAATCACCCTTACTGGGATAGCATTCAGATAGTCAGTGAAGCATTGCAGACAACGTTATGTTCAAAGAAAACGAAGCATCAAAACAGCCAAATGCTTCTGCAAAATTTTCATTCAAAACAATTAGTTGACTTGAAACTAGCTCGAGCCTGTTAGTACTGATGGCTGCCACCAGGTGGCTTGAGCCCCTGGCCAAGACCTGGCTCCCGGTTAGTTCTGTTGCTGATGTTTACTCTAGTAGAAGTGTTTCTCAGGTCACCATGTCAGAGCAAGTCCCACTGCTTCTTAGCAAAATGTCAGCCATTCTTTGGACTTTGTCCTGTGGGGGCCATTTGCTTCAGTGTCATTTTAGTATTTGGTTCACATGCATGTTATTTTTTTCTCGGAGGCAGTCTGGTAGGGTTGGGACACACCCATAGGCTGGGAGGGTCTGGGGACACACCCATAGGACCATGGAGCCCCTGTGGGGTTTTCCATGGCCCTTAGCCTTGGGTACACGCTAAGGGAAGCCCAGGCAGGGTACTGCGAACCGGCGCCCATGTATACCAAACAAACTTCAAAAAGCTGAACACCCGGGACGTGTCCACTCATGGGGACCAAGCTGGGAGTACCACCAACAGAAAATATCGAAATAAAAACACCTAGAACAGTAAAGGGGGACTGTGGTGTTGTGTGTTGCTGAGGAAGTCTTGGTTGTAAGGTTGATAAAAAGCCATTGCTTGGTTATTGACTTTAATACTTAAACTGATACATGACTAGTAGCTATCAAGCTTGGCGGGCGTACGCTCTCTGTTGTTTATCTCTCTCCCTGGCATCTGAGCCACAACACATACTGTACAAACGAATGGTTCCGTTTTCTATGAACATGACATCCCTCCTTTTCTTTAAAAAGAATGAATACAGGATGTCTACCATGCTTGTAGCACAAAGCAAAGTTATTGACACAAAGTAAGTTACTAACACATCAGGAGATATTGCATACATTTAACATTAATTAAGCACACAAAGAATTTAAACAACTTAATCTTTACCACACAGGATTTCAATGTTAAAAATACAAATGCAATGTTAAACAAAAACGAAAGAAACTGTAATACATAGTTACAAAATATTGAATGAGAGATCTGCATTATTCAAACAATATTAAATTTAATTTGGCATAATCAGTAAATACTTTGCATTACCTAGGAACACAATTAATCATCAAATCGCTTAGGACGTTTAACATGAAGCTTAGGACGAGAGTCCTTAAATACAAGAATATCCCTTGATGAATTGTTTGTCGGGTTATAACTCATTTTTTCTTTATCGTTTGTATGACTTTGCACTTCATCATTTTCTACACTAGTTGGAATCACTTTGAAATAAGCCATATTATGTGTTATACTATGATATCTATTACTTGCTGTTACCATAGTTCCTTTTACACTAATCACTTTATATGGTTTTGTATCATACGGCATATCTAGCTTTCCCTCTTTTTTCTTTTTAACGAGAACAGTATCTCCAACCTTTATGAATTGTTCCTTTGCACGTTGATCATGAGCAATTTTCATTTTGCCCTTGGCTAGTGCATCCTCCTGAGCAAGATGTGTATCAGTTACCCTGGCTGGCATGACAGGTAGTGCGATTCTCATAGGACGTCCAAATAAAAGTTCGCCAGGCGACTTGCCCAGTGTTCCATGTGGTGTTGCACGGTAGTTCCTGAGAAAAGCATACATAGCTTGTTTCCAGGATCGTCCTTCGGCATGAGCACAGCGTATCGCTTTCATGAGAGGTTGCATGAATCTCTCAACTTCTCCATTTGCTTGAGGATGTAGTGGCATCACACGGCGGTGTTTGAATCCAATATGCTCAGCAAAGTTGACGAAGTCTTGTCCTTTGAATGGCGGTCCATTGTCCGTCTTGACAACTTCAGGAATGCCAAAGTTTGAAAAGATCTTGTCGAGTTTCAGGATGACAGCCTTTGCAGATGTGGAAGTGATGATTTCTACTTCTAGATAATGTGAGTGATCATCAATGACTACCATCAAGTACTCTCCAGTTGGTAGCGGTCCGCAGAAGTCCATCGATACTTCCGTCCATGGTGCAGCAGGTAGTGGTGAAGGTTGTAGAGGTGTTGGTCTTGAAGTATCCACTGCAGCTTGGCAAGGGACACAGGCATCATGCATGTCCTTTGCTTGACGATCAATGCCAGGAAACCACACCTTTTCTCGTAGCAGCTGTTTGGTCCTAACAAGACCTTGGTGTCCTTGATGTGCAAGCTTCAGAGCACGTTGCTGGAGAACAGCTGGGATGACGACACCCTCGCAGCACGGTGTCGCGTTGTTGCGTAACACTTAATTCTGTCTGGATGCGTTCAAGTGCTTTGAATGCATCTTGGTCAACTCCTGAGGGTGGGATGCGTGGAAACTTTTTCTTAGTCAATGCATCCACTGTTGCTTGCAGAGTTGGGTCCTCCAGGGTTGCAGTACGGATTTCATCAAGAGTGAGAGCCTTAGGGACTGCATCACAGGTTACAAAGTGTGTATATTCCTCGGCAACTTGCTGATGCTTGGTGATGGTGAAACTGTTGGCAGGATGTCGACTGATGTAATCAGCGGGATTGCCTGCACCCGGCTTGTATTTCACCGTAAAGTTGTATAGTTGCAGACGAAGAGCCCATCTCTCAATGCGAGCTGGTGGTTTGGACTTTGGATTATTGAAGATGGTCTCCAACGGTTTGTGGTTAGTGACTATCGTGGTGAAGGGTGCACCAAGTAGATACACATTGAAGTGTTCACAGCCCCATACAAGAGCAAGAGCTTCCTTCTCTGTCTGACTGTATCGTTGCTCAACATCTGTGAGAGAACGGCTGGCATAGGCAATTACTACTCTGGAATCTGGTTGACCAGGTTTGTGTTGGGCTAACACAGCACCTAAACCAACAGGACTAGCATCCACAGTTAACTCAGTGTCCATTGATGGATCAAAGTACGCAGCAGTCACATTCTCTACTAGTGCATCTTTCACAGCATCAAATGCATTTTGCTTGATATCGCTCCAGTACCATGATGCATTTTTCTTCAGGAGCTCACGTAGAGGCTTTGTAATGGTAGCAAAATTTGGAATGAAGCGAGAACAGTAGTTTACCATTTCCAGAAAACTATGTACTTCAGTGGATGTTGAAGGAGGTGCAGCATTCTTGATATCTGCAACTTTCTTAGGATCTGGAGACAAACCTTTGTCACTAAGTACATGTCCAAAGAATTCAATTTTATGTTGATTGAACTCGCACTTTGCTCGGCTTAGCATCAGGTTCTTTTCTCGTAAGCGTTGCAATGTTGCACGAAGAGCTTTGTAGTGTTCAGCTTGGGTACGGCCATAAACAATGATGTCATGAGACATGTTGTCAGCATTAGGTATATCTTGCAATACCTGGCTGATGATGTGCTGGAATACCTCGGCAGCACTGTTAATACCAAAACTCAGGCGCTTGTACCTATACAGACCTCGATGTGTCGTAAACGTTGTGATGAAGCGACTCTCATCAAGTTCAAGCTGATGATAGCCCTTGTTTAAATCTAACTTGCTAAATACAGTTGCACCATTCAAGCGGTAAATCATATCATCTACAGTGGGTGTAGGATGGCGTTCACACATTGCCTTGTTGGGAACACGTATGTCTACACAAATGCGTATCTCATTTGGATTCTTCGGCTTTGGTGGAGTGACAATTGGGCTTACCCATGGTGTTGGGCCTGTTACTGGTTCAATGATATCTAGTTCCATCAGCCTATCCCGTTCGGCATCGACTTTCTTGCGAGTATGGAATGGTTGTCGGCGATGTGGTTGGGCAACTGGAATTACATCTGGGTTGATATGCAGATGTACTTTGCTATTAGCATAACAATCTGTAGGTTCAAATTGATCAAAAAATTTAGCAATAATAGCATCAACATTGTTTGCAGATTCCACTGCTACAGCATTAGAAAGCTGAAGTAGCCACAATTTGGTTGAAGTCTTGTAACTGAGTAGAGACTCCTTTGCATTCCTAACAACATGGAATGTAGTAGTGAGCATTGCATTCTTTGACTTAATCTCTGCAGTGAAAGTTCCAATCACTGGCAAGGATACCTTTGAAGTATAGGCAGTGGCTATATCATTGTAGTTCTCAAACTTTGGGAACTGTTTTATAATTGTTCATAGTGGCATTCAGCAATGGTGTCAATGTTTGATCCAGTGTCAATGAGAACTTTGAGACAAATACCAGCAATGTGTACTATAGTCTCTGGGTTGTTTGGAAGATCATTCCATTCTGTGATTGCTTGTACTCCATAAGTGTAATCACATTCACTGTCATCTAAGACTGGTTGTAATGAAATGTTGTCTTGTACATTATTAACATTCTGGATATGAGGTGCAATATTGTGTTTACCACCTCGACCCCTATGACCTGATCCTCGTACAGTACTTTTATTCACTGACTGTGGTTTCTTTAGTGTGGAACGACACATAGCACCAAAATGACCTAGTTTTCCACACTCATAGCACTTCTTACCTTGAGCAGGACAAACATTGTCTAGGTGTGGGTAGTCTCCTCCACAATTGTAACATTTATTGTTGACACCTTCTGATGTGAGTCGTTGTGACTGCTTGAGTCTTGTTCCATGACTCCAGTTGTGATGTGGTTCTCAGCTCAATTTACTGTTACTGCCATGATATCTTCTTTGATCACAGTGTCCTCCCTGAACCTTACGTACCTCATCACTGTTAGTAACAGTGGCAGAACCTTTGTTGGCACTGCACTCCATGACACGAGCATCACGTGCAGCATCTTCCATTCGACGAGCAATATCCAGTATCTTGGTAAGAGAACTTTCATCATCAACAAATTCTAGAGCTCTTCGACGGAGACGTGTAGATGTGCATGATTCAATTATTTGCTGTTTGATTTCTTTGTCAACATCAGCAAACTCACAATGGGCTGCTAAACCCTGCAGACATGTGTGGTATTGATCCACAGTTTCATTAGAGAGTTGGTTCGCTCTCCTGAAATGCATAATTTCTATTGCAGTATTTTGTCTTGGTTTGAAATGTTCAGTTAATTTGGCTTTGGCAATATCATAATCTTTGGCACCACCAGTGTCTTTCAGTGTGTCAAAGATGTCACAAACTCTATCACCTACATAATGAAGTAGAAAGGTACGCTTTCTTTCAGCACTTTTGATGTCAGAAACTATCAACAAATTTTCAAACCTTTTAAGCCATTTGATCCACCTCTGTGACAGGTTTGTCTCGTCACAGTCAGGATCAAATGCAGGAAACTGAGATATATTTGCCATTTTTACTGTACAAATGTAAACTTATCACTTAAATGTTCCTCAGAATACACTTACTGCACTGTATATGTTAGTTAAGAATTCACTGTAATTACTTTAATATTGCAAAGCACACAAGCATTTTAATGCAAAAGTTCACAGCAGTACACTATACAGAAGCAACTGACTTCTTACCTAGCCTTTGTGTACATGTGTTGTCCCTACTCACAGCAGCACAGCAGTTGGCACAGCAGTAGTTAGCAGTTGGTACAGCAGTTGGCAGCAGTTGGTACAGCAGTTGTCACAGCAGTCAGTTCACAGCGTGAAGAATTGTAGCACAGAGCGTGTTTCGTATACACAACATCAGGTTTTGTATACAGCATCAAAGCGTCGTTTCGTACACCGCGTCGGTAGATTCCTCAGTACGCAGCTTCAGTCAGCACAGCCTGGGTAGCACACAGCATTAGTTAGCACACAGCATCGTTTAGCACACAGCATTGGTTAGCACACAGCATTGGTTCGCATACAGCATCGGATATGATGCTCACAGACAGCACGACTTCCCTCCTCCTCCAGGCATGAGACAGCATGCTTCTCCCTTGTTTTGAGCTGAACAAATACCTGCGTTCACAGTTCATCCTCGTCACCAGTGTGGTGTTATGTGTTGCTGAGGAAGTCTTGATTGTAAGGTTGATATAAAGCCATTGCTTGGTTATTGACTTTAATACTTAAACTGATACATGACTAGTAGCTACCAAGCTTGGCGGGCATCCTGTACGCTCTCTGTTGTTTATCTCTCTCCCTGGCATCTGAGCCACAACACAACACAACACACTTAGGTAATTGCATACAAATGGATGGTACCGTTTTCTATGAACATGACAGGGACCAGAAAGGCAGACCCCCCACCAGGCAAAAACAAAAGAAAAACCCTGCATGAGGACAACGTACCTAGGCGGAACAAAGCCAGCCGCTGTTATTGGTGAAAACTAGCTGTGCGGTACCCCGTGCCCCTACCAGTGACAAAAACTACCACCTACCCAGAGACAAACCAGGGCAACAAAACCCCAGCCGACTCCAAGGGCGGCCCAGTACTGAGCAGTAAAGGACACAGCGGAGGTAGAACCCAAGGTGACTTGTGGAAGGTGGCCCAACCCCCCAAGGGCAGTACTTACAGGGCACCTAGGGAAGAAAGCCCTAGGCGCATGCAGGCCGAGTACCGTGGAATCTCACTCCTGGCTCACACCCCACCGGTATAGACAGCCCACACCACAAGGCACAGAACTGAAACAAAAACCAGAGCCAGAGGCACTCGACCGGCCAGTAATACCATCAGCCAAGAACTGCCAGTTGGATCGCCGGCGTGGAGGGTCTGGGGCTCCTCCTTCCCCCTCCCGGGGAGGGGGAGTTGCGCAGATGGTGGAGCGGCGACGTGATGACGTCATGGTAGTTTGATAATTTTGTTTGGGGGAGTTCTGTCCACTTGTTCAGCTTTCGGTAGCAATATTTTCACCCCGAATAGGGGTTTGTTTTGAGGCGCCTACCTTTCTGGGTGCCTATCCCGGTCAATGGCAGACATAGAATGCTCCCAACCACAAGGGGGTTTTTATAGGCCATTGCTCCTTGTGCCTCTCTGAGGGGCCCGGTTCTGGCTCGTGGTCCCCGGTAGGCAAGAACTCCTAGCACTTTGACTGATGCCAGAAAGTAATACATATCCATTCAGCCTGGATAGCACCGGGGAGCCTCCGGGACTCACCCAGAAAAGAGCGTTTCATTACATTCAACGCTGGTTTTATTGCTTTATTGCTTTAAAAGAATTCCTTACTAGTCAGTATACTACTGTCCAAGGGCTAAGAACATACGACAACATACAACTATTGACAACAGCCACAATAGGTATTATCTAAACAGGAGGATGGGTTGCATATACTGTATCTCTCTCTTGCTTCTGGGTTGAATGCTTTAAGGCTATTACCCTACTTCGCCTTGTCCCGTATTTCCTGGGAAGTTGATAGATGCACACTCCTCTATTTGGACTCCTCTCTTGTGCTGTCTAAACTTGATTATGGCTGTCCTGCCTACTCTATGCTTCTCATTTAACCCTTCATTGTCTCGATACTCTGTACCATAATAGGCTGTGCCCCAGCTCTGGTACTTTTCATTCATCTTCTACCCCTCCTACTCTTATGAAATGCCTTTTCGTTGAACGTTTTTGTTTGCACTCGCGCTCTATTGCCCTATTTGCAGATGGGTCTAAGTCTGCTGATGTTTTGATATACTCTGTAGTCTTTTCTGACCAAGCTTGTTTGTATCACCTTCCCTAGAGACTAGCATCTTCACTGCTGAACTTTATGCAATTTTGTATGCTCTTCATCAATTGCTTTTCAGATGTCAACATTTCTTTGTCATTGTGGCTGTCTCTCTCAGTGCTCTTGTGGCTCTGGAGTCATTTAACCCTTCTAACACATTGGACACACTGTGTTGATAAGAGCTTGGATATCAATGAAAGCTACATTAATTCTTTGTCCCGGCCTTATAAAATACTTGGCAAAGTAATTTTGGGTATTTCTGCCAGCGAGAAAGGCAAGGTTTTGAATTTGTGGCATTTTACTTGTTGAGAACATGCTAAGCTGAATGATGAATTCTCTAGTGTCTGGCCAGCACCAGTATGACTGGCAGTGATGATTTCAAGAGTGCTGCTACTCAGGTGCAGAATGTTGACTTGCTCTGACTGAGCAGGACCTCATTCATGGGACCAGCAGTATGTAGCTACATCTTGAGATGATGATTTCACAGATGGGTCTAAGTCTGCTCATGTTTTGATATACTCTGCAGTCTTTTCTGACCTTATTTTCTGACTTTCTTATAGGGAGCAACCAATGTCTTGCTTAGAAAGGAAGCTGTTTATTTACCAACCAGCGCAGCACACTGAAAACCTGAATTTTTTATTTTCAGAGCAAGAGTCGACGTCGTATATGCTTCTGCATCATGCTCCTCCTTGTTGTGCTGACTATTATTGGCATTATTATTGGCCTTCACTTCACCTCTCAAAAGTAGGGAGCTCATTTAAAGTAGGTGTGTAATGTGTGTGTGAGAATTTTGTTTACATTTCCTAATAAATAGTGGAATCTTAGTTTTGTTGAATATATTAGTAATATGCATTCCATTATTTGACAAGTTCTCAGTTGACACACATCTGTGAAGGCCACTATTGCTGATTGAATGTCCAAAGATAGTATATTTTAAATAATCTCTAGTCACAATCCATGAAACTAGTGATTGGTATTCATGCTGATAAGGATAACTTATTTCAGTGAATAAAAATAATCACTCTGATGTAACAGTTGAATGGAATTGTTTGGCTTTATTTTTGGTGGTCTGAATGTAATTTGAGTTTCATTTATCATACAGTTTTTAATTTGAAATCATATGAAGGTACACATTATATGGTGCTTTATCTTCAACGATGATGATTAAAGTCATGAGTTTTGGGTATACAGTAATTATGAGTAATATATGTATTTTATACAATGATCCATGTATTATGTGATTGAAGTATTCATGTCAATATCATTAGTACTGGCTACTTAAGATCTTGTTTAAGAAACAGGTTGAGCTGAATTTTGTTACGTCATTAGAGTTTTCTAATTCTTACAAAAATCTGTTAACACTTAATGATGAACTTGGGCTTGTGGTCATCATTGATATTCTATATTTATATGAAAAGATGTATGTAGTTGTTTACAGAAATTAGTGGTTAAATATTACCTTTGGGTCAGTAGGTTTCATAATTTTAATATTTTGCATATTTGATTGTTATCAATATATAGATTTTATGAATTGCTGATAAGTATTAAAAGCAGTTTCACGTGATGTATATTTTAATACAATGATCACCCACTTTTTCACTGGTATTGGACTGTATCACGGTTAACTTAGTCAATACAGGTATACAGGTACACTTTAATGTTATTTCAAGTTAAGAGTGAATAGTGTCTGGTTTGCTTATAAATATGTTATGAAAATACAGTACTGTATTAAGATATTCAAATTTACCGAGGTATATTCACGTCACAAAGTGCATAATAGAAATTTAATATAGGGGAAGTATGTTAATGTTAGAAATACCAGTGGTAAAAGTTTTGTGTCATTTTAGGTGATGTTTCCAGTACTTGATTATTTAACACTTTTAGTGATATTAGAAGATTAAGGTAAAAGATTGTAAAGTAATTTTGGAAAGACATAGTTGGCACTTAAAATTTGTAGATATGTTTTAAGGAGTAGAAATAGGAAACTTGATGATGAATTAGTCTTAAGTTATGTTAAATTTGTGTACAAATTTTTTGATGTACCTCTAGATATATAGATTTTATATTTCCTTCCTTTTTAAATGTATATACAGAGGGGCCTCGACTTACGATGGTAATCCGTTCCCAGAGACGGATCGTAAGTAGAAATATCGTAAGTCGAAGCGCTTTTTCCCATAAGAAATAAAGGGAATTGAATTAATCCGTTCCCCCCCCTCCAAAATATTAATTTACAAATACATTTTATACTGGATACAATTTTTTTTCTAACAGTACATATGTATACAGTACATATGTTTATCTTACCTTTATGGAGGACTCTTGATGCATATGAAAGATGGTGAGGAGGGGGAAGGAGGAGAGGTGTTACTGTTTGGAAGGGGAGTCCCCTTCCATTATAACATTAGGCAGTGATGACTTCTCTGGGGTACACTCACTCCTACATTTTGCCTGCATCCCACTAGGACCTGGTTGTGATTCACTGCTTGTTTGTCTCACTAAAAACCTTTCCAGAGATTTTTGTTTTTCCATATGTTTTAATTTTTGTCTGTAGTGAGGCATCACAGTGTCATTAAAAAGGTTAAGGCAACGGCCTACTGCACCGTGATTTGGGTGAGTCGTTTCAGCAAAAGTTTGCAATTCTTCCCATGCTGCACACATTTTCTTAATTAATGAGGAAGGGACATTCTGTACTGTCTCCTCCTCCCCTGAAGAAATTTCCTCAGCTGTTTTGTGTTGCTGCTCCTTGTGAAGTTCTTCGGGGGTCAGTTCTTCGCTGTATTCCTCCACCAGCTTGCAACACACAACACTCACAACACTATGAATGCCACTTCTGTTTCTAAATTTCTCAAACCATCCCCTGCTCGCCTTAAACTCTTTCGCATTTGCATCACTTGTTCCAGGGGTTTTCTTTAAAAGGTCTTCATGCAATTTCCTTGCCTTTTCACAAATGATGGCCTCTGAAACTCTATCACCTGCTAACTCCTTGTTGTTTATCCAAATTAATAATAACTGTTCAACATCCTCAAGTGTTTGTGCTCTATGTTTCGTGATTATTGATACACCTTTTGCCACTTTAGCACTCATAATGTCCTTTTTCTTAGCAAGTACAGGCATACCTCAGTTTAAGAGTTTAATTGGTTCCTGGAGACGCCTCGTATTCCGAAAACTCGCATTCCGAAGCTAATTTCCCCATAAGAAATAAAGGGAAATGAATTAATCCGTTCCTGACTACCCCAAAAACCCCACATCAAACTAAATTTTTATACCTAATTCATCTAAATAAACCTACAAAACTATGTTCAAGTTATTACTTACCTTGCTGTTGAATGCTGTAGGCGTATGAAAGATGGTGAGGAGGTGGGAGGAAGAGAGGAGTTACTGTTTGGAAGGGGAGTCCCCTTCCATTATCACATCAGGCAGTGAGGACTTCACTGGTATGCACACTCTGCCACATTTTGCCTGCATACCACTAGGACTTGCTTGTTTTACTAAGAATTTATCTAATGACACTTGTTTTTCCCTACATTTTAACACTTGTCTGTAGTAAGACATCACATTATCATTTAAAAGGTCAATGCAACAGCCTGCTACAGCTTTATCTGGGTGAGTTTTTTCAACAAAACTTTGCAGTTCTTCCCATACTTCACACATTTTCTTAATCAAGAAGGGACATCCTCTACTGCCTCTACTCACAGCTATTTTCGTAGGTTGAACCTTATCAATGGCTTTCTTGAGACCCATGGCAAGATATATAATGACAACTTTTATGCTCAAATGGCCAAAAAACCGATAAAAAACTGTAAATCCTTGTGAAGAATTCAGGTGGGATAGTCACTGGACACGAGACACTGGTAAACTGAGGCGCGATCGCCATGCCACCACGCGCCAGTCGGCCTGTACACGTATCAACAAACTCGCGTCCCGAGGTAACCCTCGCCTTCCGAGACATATTTTTGGAGTAAATCCTGCTCGTCTTCCGAAAAGCTCGCATACAGGGACACTCGCATTCCGAGGTACCACTGTATGGTGGATATCGTTGACTGAGATTTGTTGTACTGCCTAGCTAGTTCAACAACCCGCACGCCATTGTCATATTTACGAATGATCTCTTGTTTTTGCTCTATGGTCATCATTACATGTGTTTTCATATGTTGAACCTTACCACTGACTTTCTTGAGACTCATGGCATGATATGTAATAATCAGTTTTATGTTCAAAAAGCAAAAAAACTCTACAAAAACTTAATTTCTTATAGGCGTGATCGTCACTAAGCGGGCAGCTCTAGTAAACTGTGGCAGGTCGGCCCTCGTGGCCGGGAACCACGCACTCGGTCGACCCAAACATGTACCAACAAATATCGTAAGTCGAGTTGCATTTTTCGATCAAATTTACATCGTAACTCGAAATTATCATAAGTCGGGGAAATCATAAGTCGAGGTGCCACTGTAATGGAACTTTGAAATGATATGATCACTATGTACAAAATAGAAACAGGAATCAAAAAAATTCACAAAGAATAAATAAAGAAAAACCTGCAACTATAAGATTTAGAGGACAAAAGGTTCAAACTAACAAAACAATGCTGCCCCTCCCCCCCCAAAAAAGTTAGCTTTTGCAAACAGAGTAAAAGTCAATGATTGGAACAAGCCCATACTGTCAAGAGTTTCAGAGCATCATATGTTAAAGAGTACTGGGAAGAAAAAGAGGCAATATGATCATTATGTACAAAACAGTAATGGGAATCGATAAAATTGATAGAGAAGAATTCCTGAGACATGGAACTTCAAGAACAAGAGGTCATAGATTTAAACTAACTAAACAAAGCTACTGAAGACATATAAAAAAATCATTTTTCCAAACAGAGTGGTAGAGGGTTGGAACAAGTTAGGTGAGAAGGTGGTGGAGGACAAAACCATTACAGTAGTAATTTCAAAGCGTTATATGACAAAAGAGTAGTGGGAAGACGGACACCACGAGCATAGCTCTCATCCTGTAACTACCTTAGGTAATTACACATGGCAGACGTGGATGGGAAGCATAAACATAACCTGGTTCAGTACACTACTCGTCCAAAAGTATGCAGCACCCTTCTCTTGCTCCCCTCAGCACAACAAACAGTACATAAGGGAATATAGCTAATAATGTATTAATTACCTTTTATTACTTGGGTTGCCCTTCCCCCTCCCCGCTCAGCTCGTTGTCGCCATGTGGGGGCTTAGTGGACGGCTGCCGGAGTGTGATGCTCCTTGGGACAGTCCTCTGTCCTTTTCTAGCCTTGTGCTCCTGCTGCCGTCCTCTCCAATTCTGCTGGGCATCTTTTCCTTTTCCTTCTGTTTCGTTTTTCTCCCCCCTCTTCTCCTATCTGCTTGCCGTTTCCTGCCGACCTTTTGCTCGTTCTGGTTCTTCCCTTGGACTTCTTCTATTTTGACGCCCGGGTGCTTGAGGAGGCATACTCTTGCACCCGTAGAACTGTAGTACCCGACGTCGAGAGCGAGGGGAACCTTTTATTGTCAATCCCCCTTTCGTCACTGAACCCGATCTCGACGGACTGTCGGTTTCTTAAGGTGGCGTTTGTGGGGCGTATACTCACGACGCACCCTTAGGAGGCCCCGGCAAGATCGGCGATAGCTTCTTGTTGGGTGTCCTGCCTCTAATTGTGGCTCCATGGTGGGTGTGGGGGCACATTCGTGAATGAATTCTTCTTTTCGTAATGATGATAACCCCTGTTTCGGCTGCTTCTGGTGTACCTTCTCAGGCTCGTGGGGTGGGCGACCGAGCCCCCGAGTCGGTCCGTATTGGAAGACCGGGCTCTGTAGCCTCCGCTGCATTGGGCCTTCCCCTGGCTCCCCTCCCTCCTTTCCCTGGCTCCCCTCCCTCCTCTGTGGTTGGGTCGAGCCCCAGGCCCCCAGTGGAGACTACCTCGTCCCCTGGCGCGGCTCCTCTAGTTGTAACTACTGCGCCTTTTAACCCCTCTCTCTCTGGGGGTTCTCACCGCCGTCCTCGTCACGGCCGCCCTCGCTCGATTTCTTCCAGTTCTGCTACCTATCAAGCCTTGTTTGGTCCCGCTTCGTGGGCCAAATATTTTGATCTCCTCCCTCTTGATTCTGCGCCTCCTGACGATTTCTCCCTCCATCGACATCTCATTGATTCCGTGGATGCCTCCATTACTTTCAACCCCACTCGTCTCGGTACACGTGTCGTTGCTGCTCCTTCTCAGGATGCTGCTTCCCGCTTGGCTGCCTTATCCTGCCTTGGCGAGACCCCCGTTCGGGTCTCGAAGAACGTTCAGTTGAATGCCAGTGTTGGCACTGTTTTGCTCCCGCCCCATGCTGTGACCGGTGTTCGGGACCTGCGCGACTGCCACGACGATATTCGACATATCCTCGCTGCCCGGGGCCATTCTATTCTCCAGGTGGACACGTTTACTCGTCCCCCTCGTGGTAGTCGCCGTCAACCCCTCCGGGTTGTGAAGATTACCTTTGATGGTAGGACCCTTCCACCCTCTGTCATTCTTGCTGGTGACAGGTGCTCTGTCCAGGAGTACATTCCTTCTCCTCGGCTCTGCAACAAGTGCTGGAGGTTTGGGCATGGTGCCCTCCGCTGCTCCGGGACTGTCTCTCTCTGTCCTTTGTGTGGTGGCGAAGGTCACTCTAAGTCGGAGTGCGCTTCTCCCCAGGCTCGTTGCCTCAACTGCGGTGAGGCCCATCCTACCTTCTCCCGTGTGTGTGTCCATTACAAGCTTGAGGCAGCCGTCCTCAACTTGAAGCACCGGGAGCGTTTATCTTTTCCTGAGGCGCGGCGCCAGGTTCGCCGGCTCCCGCCTTATGCTCATATCTCTTATGCTCGCGTGTTGCGCTCTTCCTCTCCTCGTCCTTCCCGCCTTCCTCAGACTCACAACCGTTTCCAGGCCTTGGACCCTGATGCGCCCACTGCCTCCTCCTCTGTCCCTTTGGGTTCTCTCCCGAAGGATCCTCCTCCTGGTCCTCTGTCTGGGGTTCCCCTTCCTTCTACCCGGTCTGTCGTGTCTTCTGTGTCTTCTTCCTCGTCCCCCTCCGATCCTCCTTCCCATCCTCTTCCTCCATCTATCGGCTCTCCCCACCGCCTGTCGGTGCGGGCGGATGTCCATCGCTCTCCTAACGGCCGTCGTGTGTGCTCTCGTTCGGCTTCTCCTGTTGAGACACTGGAATCCGTTGCCCGGTACGTAGTTGCTGGGACACCG